TGGACAGGGAAGCCTGGTGTGCTGCAGTCCGTGGGGTCACAAAGAATCAGACACGACTGAGCGACTGAACAAGACTCAGAATCCAACTGACAACTGCCAAACAGGAAGACTCTCTGAAGACAGTACAGACAACATCTTCCACCTAGGAGGAGCGAGGGATGAATTCAGGCATAAAAAGGACTAACTCTAAAGACATATTCTCTTCATCAAAAGACTCTAAAGAGAGGGCAAGGTGAATCGCAAGCCAGAGCAGTTATTTGCAACGCACAGACCTCTGGTGTGCGTCTGGGATGCGGGTTCAGAGTGACGTGTGGCCTTGTCATCTAACTGCATTGAGAGGGCCTTGACCGGACTCCTGAACCCTTCTCACCACCCCAACTGACAGATCCTTCTTGCCACCAATCTGGTTCCCTGAACTAAACAAACCTCCTTACTGGGGGCCCCCGGGCCACTTACTGCTCATCCTGGAAGTGGGCTTCAGCGCCCTGCCAGTCAGGCACATCCTGTGTGGGAACCGAGGGGCGCCCCCTCTTGTTACCCCCAAACCACCCCTGCTCTGCTCCCCGGTGCAGCCCCCACGCGTGCCTGCGCGACGCGGAGCACCCTCCTCCCTGGGACTGTGAGCCCGTGTGACTGACCCACTGTCAGCCTCACTTGTCCAGCATTGGGTGCGGTGTGTCTGGCCATCGCTGTCACCTTAGGGCAGAGTGACTAGGAGGCAATTATTAATAAAATAGCACCCGACAGAACACAGAGCGAGTGCTCACAAATTACTGCACGGAAGACCCAGACCATCTAGTCAGAAAAGAGCAAATACTTGGACGAGGTTGTCACAAGAAAGGAAAGTCAATGGCTGACCAAGTACATGAAGACAGTCACACCAGCAACAGGGGGAAAAGCAAAATTTCAAGATTTCTTCACACACTAGACCGACAAAAACTGACAGCTCTGACAGCATCAGGTGCTGGTGGCAGGAGCAGCAGGGATTCTCCACCCCTGCTGATGCGGGGTGCAGCGGTGCCGCCACCCAGAAACAGGGACCGGTCGCTGCCCCACGAGCCAGCGGTCTCACACACGGTCAGCTCTCTGAGGGACGCCATAAGTGTCCATTAGCAAACACAGTCAGACATCCACAGACGCTCTTTTTCAGAGCTCCACGCTGGCCTGGGGGCAGGGATTGTAGCAGGTGCCCGCAGCAAGGATGACAAACCAACGCCGGCCACTCTGGACGGTGTGAGATGGACAAGTGCCACCGCAAAGCTGAGCGAGGGGAGAGGTCACCGGAGAACACGTTCCATGGCTCTGTCTCCATGGAGATAAACCAAAGGTCATGCTCAGCGACAGTGGTTAATGACGAATGAACAGAAAAGCTGGTAGAACAGTCTTCCCTGGTGGTCTAGTGATTGAGAGTTTGCCTGCCAGTGCAGGGGACACGGGTTTGATCCCTGATCCGGGAAGATCTCCCGTGCCGTGAAGGAGCTAAGCCCGTAGGCAGCAGCTACTGAGCGTGTGCTCTAGAGTCCGAGGGCTGCAACCTGAGCCTGTGCGCCTATCGCCTGTGCTCTGCAACAAGAGAAGCCACGACGAAGAGAAGCCCGTGTGCCCCAGTAAAGACCCAAAAATAAATAGTTAAAAAACAAGTTGGCAGAGCCGCAGAGAGGAACAAGGACAGGATGATCTGGAAGTGGCCATCTCTATGTGGTGGATGATGTGTCAGGAAAGGAGCAGAGAAGAACTTCTGTGGGCCTGGTTGGGCTGTCTGTCTTACCCCTGGGGACTGCTACATGTGTGCTGACACTCACCTTATCATTAGTTTAAAACCAGAATATACGTTTTACACGTACTTCTGCATGCATGATAAATACAGATCAAAAGGCAGAGAAAAGTCAAACAAGTCTAAAGCTGCCCTGGACCCTTTTCACCTGGGATCAAGTCTGATGGGCAGCCACACCTCCTTGCTGGGCCCTTGCCTAGTCAGGGCACCCTCCCAGGTCCACCCTGACCTGGAGCCACCTAGACAAGATGACCTGGATCAGGTGGACTCTCCTGGCAGGTAAGGGCAGGTGGAGGTGGAGAAAGAGGGCCAAGGGAAGCTTCCTCGAAAGCACTGCATCTCGTGGTATCATGAGTCAGGTGCTCTGTCTTCCTTCTCTGTGACCTCTTCACCCTGCTGTGGCCCCTGCCCCAGGACCTTGACCCCATAGTCCACTTTGACCTTGCACTTCTGGCCAGGGCTTTCACTTGTACAACCAGCATTACTGTTGCCGTTCAGTTGTTCAGTCGTGTCTGGATCTTTGCGACCCTATGGACCTCAGCATGCCGGGTTTCCCTTTCCTTCACCATCTCCTGGAGCTTGCTCAAACTCATGTCCACTGAGTCAGTGATGCCATCCAACCATCTCATCCTCTGTCATCCCCTTCTCCTCCTGCCTTCAATCTTTCCCAGCATCAGCGTCTCTTCCAATGAGTCGGCTCTTTGCATCAGGTGGCCAAAGTATTGGAGTTTCAGCTTTAGCATCAGTCCTTCCAATGAATAGTCAGGATTGGTTTTCTTTAGGATTGACTGCTTTGATATCCTTGTAGTCCAAGGGACTCTCAAGAGTCTTTTCCAACACCACAGTGGGACTTGCAAAATGATCAAGCCTTTCTCTCACTCTCTCGCTGAAAAGTGTTCCAATGTGCTGTTCCTCAAAGCAGATGTGAATGGCCATCAGGATGCTGCTTCACAGTGTGAAGCCAAATGCACGCCAACCTTCCAGTTATTTTAAAAGGGACAGAAGGTGGGTGAATTTTCTGGAGTTACAAGGGAAAACTTAAAGCCACCATTCATGAATTAATCTAATCAAATCATATTTTCTGAAGACATGACTAGCCATTGACTGTTTAAAACTTGCAATTTTTTTTATACATAAAGGAAAGATCAAGTATGAAGATTATATACCTAACTGCCATCTGATAAGTGACAATAAAATATTAACTCTACCCTTTTTTAAAAAAGAAAATAATTCATAAAGATGACTCTAAATTGCCCCATAATGTCAAATCAGAAGAATTCCCAATCAACTAAGTCCCCTCTGACACACATGGCAACTCAGTCATCAGATATTACCAAGAGCAGAAAGCAGAACAGTGCAAAGCCTGTTTCACCAAATGGCTCTGGGCACAACCCCAGGCCACTCTGGAGGCAGCATGTCTTTACTTTCCATCAGCGCCTCTCGCTGCTCAATCCTGTCCACTCAAGTCAAAACCCAGCTCCCTCCAAAGAAGCCCCCATCTCCTCAGATCAGCCCAAAGAAACCATGCAGATTTCACTGGGTCTCATCACTCCTTCCCTGGTGGCTCAGAGAGTAAAGAATCCACCTGCAATAAGGAAATGTGGGTTTGAGAAGATCCCCTGGGGAAGGGAATGGCAACCCACTCCAATATTCTCACCTGGAGAATCCCACGGACAGAGAAGCCTGGTGGGCTACAGTTCAAGGGGTTGCAAAGAATCAGACATGACTGAGCGTGCGCGCACGCACGCACATGCGTGCGCGCGCACACACACACATCACTACTCCGGCCTGACCCAAAAACCAAGATGAAAATGCATTCCTGACTCCTGAGGGCTGAGTGAGAACCAGCCTCTTCCAAGGGCTCTGGGGGGAGACAACTCCCAGCCTCATACACCCTGGACATGGGCTGAACCACAATGTCAGACGGATTTGGGGTGATGCAAAGGCATCTGCCTTGCAAAGTGAAAAATGCTGGGCCACCACACGCAGTGACCTGCAAAGGAAAATCATGGACAGTGGCTTTGGTCTCCACCCAGCATCATCAGCAGAAGGGGGAATGGCTTCTGAGTAAAAGCATGACCCAGGACAATGTGGGGTTCTGACCGTTAGCAAAGCTGGGCTTAGCACCCAGGGGGGCGAGCTGCCCACAGAGCAAGGCCATGGCGCTCCCAGGCAGGCACGGCTAAGGAGTGGCCACCACGGTCCTCCAGTATCATCCCAGCCCATGATTTCCCATGACCAGAACCCCAGGGCTGGCTGCTACACGGCCCCCTACCCGCTGCCCCCCGTCAGTGTCCTAGCCATACAACCACCTGGGAGGAGACAGAAGAGATGATATTTTATCCTTTAGTCACAAAGGATGCTCCTGATACAGCGTGCTTCCAGGCCAGACTCTGGGAATAAACGATGGTGTGGCGGGAGGTGGGAGGCTGGCCGGACACCCTCCCCCAGGGGCCCTCCAGCAGTCAAGTGCTGCTCTGTGAGTAAGAGCATCCTGATGCAGGTACCAGAGAGCCAGAGAGGCTCAGGAGGAGAGGAGGGGAGGATGAGGGAAGAAGGGAGGAAGAGGGGAGGGAGAGAAGGAGGGAGGGGGAGAGAGAGGGGGGAGAGGGAAGCGAGGAGTGCCCATGGCACCGCCCCACTCCATGCCCCAAGTGGCTCCCTGGACTGCAGAGCTCGCCCTTCTGCCCAGATCCTCCTTGTCCCCCGAGGTCCTCCTGGCCCAACATCTTCCCAGAGTATTTCACTGCCCCCACCCCCACAGTCATCCCTGTCACTGAACCCTTGCCACCAGCAAGTGTCACACATACTGCATCCCAGGCACATCTCCAGGGATCCCCAAATCCCACCCCATCTCCAGCCATCTGGTGCACACTCCTACACCTGCCCCCGGGGGACCCTATCTTCCTCTGCAGGTGTCCATCAGCCACCACAGAGGCTCTGAGCTCTGACAACTGTGTCATGGGCGCGTGGCTTCCAGGCGGTTTCCGGTACAGTGGAGGGTGGGGACCCACCATGGCCCCTGTTTCAGGTCTTACTCACTCCAGGACGACACAGTCCTGCACCTGCCCTTTGTCTGGAAGCACGTGGGGTTAGGCCTTGGTCTGGTCAGGACCCCTCAACCCTCCTCACACACACCCTGCAGACCCACAGCGCCCCAACTCTGAGACCTGAATGGGAATGAGGATCACACATACTGGCAAAGGCCGTCTGGGCAGAAACTCACCGGTAAGTGCCCAAGGAGAGGCGTGATGCTGTCAGAAACATAGAGGATGCTGCCATCTGTCGTCACGGCGATGATGAAGCCATCCAAGGCCTGCGAAAAATGCAACAGGTGAAGGCTCTTCCGTCATGCTTTCATGCAGGAGGGGATCACTGAAGCCAAGGACCCTGGGTTACAACAATGACTTCGGTTCATAACTCTGAATATTTCCATGGCTAACCTCACAGCACTTTTTTTTTTTTGTCTTGCACACAAGTGGGTTTCTTACATAGAACTTGTCTAACCCAGATGAAATGGTTGCAAAGCATGAAAGGGCCTAGTGGAAAATGGGACCTACGGTATCATGAAATAAATTCAGTGGTGGAAATTACCTGAGTACATTTACTGATAAGTGTGCATTTGGGCTGAATCAGAAATATCACAATTGCCATTAAAAGGTGTCAGTGAAGAGTTCACGATCCCTGTTCTCCATCCCCACTACCACTGTGAATTCAGTGGTAAGCATTTACTAAAAGATACAGGAGCTCATGGGCTTCTCCCATGGTGGTGTCAGTGGCAAAGAATCTGCCTGCCATCTCAGGAGACGCAAGAGACATGGGTTCGATCCTTGGATCGGAAGATCCCCTAGAGAAGAGAATGGCAATCTGCTCCAGTATTTTTGCTTGGAGAATTCCATGGACAGAGGAGCCAGGCAGGCTACAGTCCATGGAGTTGAAAAACAGTCAGAATGACTGAGTGGCTCACACACACACACACGAGCTCACAGAGGCATTAAAAGCAGAAACTGTGCCTGCTGGTCCATTGCCACAGAAAGACCTTCTGAAGGAACTCTTTATAAAGAACATTCACATTAATCCACCAAAGGGAAAAGTAAGGGCTGATGGGGAAAGGCTGGGTTACTCGACTAGATCCACAAGAGCAGTCATCCCTCAGTGTCCATGGGTAACTGGTCCTAGGACCCCTGCAGACACCAAGTTCCAAAGATGCTCAAGTCCCCCAGAGTTGCCCGCGTATCCATGGGCCCTGCATTCTGGGATTCAGCCAACCGTGGGTGTGAAACCCACAGACATGGAAGGCCAACCATATTTCAGCATGTCTGGAAAATTCATTTGTTTAGAAGTTTTGACCGAGTGCCTGCCGTGGGTTAGATGCACTGCCCTCGGATCTCATGAGAGAAAAGATACGGGCCCTCGTGTTTTCTCACAGATCCACCGGCTGTTTGGTGTTCGGGTTCCTAATCAGGTGCTCACAATGCTTTCATAAGTCACACAGAAAGGTGATTTCTAAAACTCAGACTCTGCCCAGCAGAGAACGGAGTCATCCGGGCAACTCACAATACTGGCCTGCCATGGAAAGGGAAGAGATGAAAAACAAAACCTTTCTCCCCCAAAACAAATATTCGAGGACATAAGACGCTCAGGCAGGCGGTTGCTGTAAACTATCACTGCTGCCTCACTGACTGTACTGTTGAAATAGCATCTTGCACAAGTGTGTGGATTTTTCTACTTTGAGGGAAAAAAATTCCCAAAGTGAAGTATGTGTTTAGAAAGTTTTGGAAACATTTTGTATACCCTCAGCTCGATCTTCCCAGGGTGTTACTGATCTTCTGTGCAGCCAAGAGGGCATGGATTCTTTCAGGGTAGGAGGGTGCTGCTAAGTGCCTGGCAACAGGAGCCAGAAATAGTCCAGAAGTGTGCGGAGAAGGGTACCACCATCGGCACACACCACCGTGGGAGAGAGCTCTTTTCACTGGGAAAATTACTACTAGGGTCACTGACTATTTAACACTTAGGTTCTGCAGGGTTGGGAAGAATCCCCTGGAGGAGGAAATGGCAACCCACTCCAGTATTCTTACCTGGAGAATACCGTGGACAGAGGAGCCTGGTGGCCTATAGTCCATAGGGTTGCACAGAGACAAACATGACTGAAGTGAGTTAGCACACGGCACACACTGCAGGATTTAAGACTGAAACATCTATTAAAGCACATTTCTTAAGTGGACCCCATTCTCTTTGATTATGTCTGTGGTTTTCAGCTGGGGACAACTCTGCCCCACTGGGGACATCTGGCAATGTCTAGAGACCTTTCTAGTTGTTGCTTCTGGGGCGGGCACTGTTGGCATCTAGTGGATGGAGGCCAAGGATGCTTTGAAACATCCCATCCACAATACACGGTATGTCCCTACCACAAGGAACGATCAGGTCCAAAATGCTAATTGGGCTGAGGTGGAGAAATCTTGGACCAGATTTACCAGTCATCATGAACACCAAAGCACATCCTGCCGTTGTGTTCAGTTGCTCAGTCATGTCTGCCTCTTTTGAGACCCCATGGACTGTAGCCCGCCAGGCTCCTCTGTCCTTGGGCTTCTCTAGGCAAGAATACTGGAGTGGGTTGCCATTTCCTCCTCCAGAGGATCTTCCTGACTTAGGATCGAAGTCGCATCACCTGCGACTCCTGCGTCGGCAGGAGGATTCTTTACCTGCTGAGCCACCTGGGAAGCCCCAATATTCTGGTGACCTTTATTTCTTTTCCTCTTAAGTATTTTTTCTAAATTAAAAGAAATCATATTAGCAGCGCTCCTGGAGGTGAATTTTTCTAAGAGGTGGAGGCATTGTGGATGACATCAGCGGGACCGTTTTGGAAACAGCAGATTGAAATACTGGGAAAAGCAGGAGCAGTCTAAATTCTCTTCTTGCACAGTGAGCCCATGCCCTCTTGAATTTATAAAGCAAGTGGGTGTTAAAAAGCAGGAGGTATTTATGGATGGGAGATAACGCTCATCAGCCCATTGGCATTTTCCATCAAACGCATGAGGATTACGCTGAGTCACTGCGTTAAGAGCGCTTGTGATGGTTTCAGAAGTCCCACTGGCAACATTTGAGAGTGACTCAACAGGACATGGTTAGAAAGTAGCATGCCCCTCCTGTTGAAATGGGGACTCTGGCAGGACCTTCAGTGGACGCCCGAGATTCCACAACGGCCCGAGTTTCACACCTGCCACACAGCAGAGGGAAACGAGGTGACACCTCTCTGCCAATCCCTGGTTCTGACGGAATGTTTCTTGTCTTCTCTGGGACAACCTCTGGTCTAAAAGAAAAGATGGCTGTAGCTTTTCTGAACAAAATTCATAAATACTGCATATCCCGTAACTGCCTGTCAATGAGAGTGTCCCTTCCTTTGAATTTACTTGTTCTAACGCTTGTGGCTACCATCTTGGGCAGCTTTCACTCGACCAGCTCGGCTGGCTGAGACCAAGTCGCTTTCATTCTTTCCAGTCCCACAATGGTATGAGTTTTCCTGGAGTCTGGTTTGGGGCCTTTTTGGGAGAAGAGGAAGGAAGCAGGGATTCACACTCAGAAGACACCAGCAGTGCCATTCCCTGGGGTCTGACGGGCTCTGTCCTGGGTTTCATCTTCATTTTAAAAAGGAAACTCCTAGTTACGAAGACATGGCATCTGGATTCCTCATGCTCCCTGAAGTGGCTCTGAACAAAGGAGGGGGATGTGCAGCTGAGATGGGATGCATACCATGGAGAAGCTGCATCCTGGAAAATGAGAGCATCATCCCATGGGGACCATCGCAAGGAAGGCACAGGAGGCTCCTGTCACCCTTCACCTGGTCGTGTCTTCTGAGGAGCAAAAGGGTGGAAGAGGAGCCTAAGACAGTCAGAGACAAATCTAAAGTTCTAGTTGGACAGTCTCCCAGATGTCTCAAAGATGCAATTTACCCAGAACTCCTGCTTGTTGTACAGGCTTAATTTGGGGTCCATCCAATTCACTTATGTAGCATGATTTCCTTTAGACTGGCTTCAAAGAGTCTACACTAGGAGCAGAGGAAAGTGCATAATGCATATCCATACAAATCTAAACTAGTCTTTTTCTAGAAATTTCAGCCTTCTAAATCTCAGTTCAGCCCAAATTTTCATTTTTAAAATAAAGACTGTTATAAGAGAAAAGGAAGGGCATTACGTAATAACCATGGGATCAGTCCAAGAAGACACCACAAGTGTAAACATATATGCACCCAATACAGGAGCACCTCAATATAGAAGGCAAATGATAACAGGCAGAAAAGGAGAAACGGACAGTAACACAATAATAGTGGGACCTCAACACTTCACTGACATCCACAGACAGATCATCCACGTGGAAAATCTAAGGAAGTACGAGCCTTAAATGGTACATTAGACTAGGTGGACATAATTGGTGATTACTGAGTACTCCATCCAAAAGCAGCAGAGTACAATTTTGTTTCAAGGCCACATGGAACATTCTCCAGGACTGACCACATGCTGGGCTACAAAGTGAACCTCGGCAAATTTAAGAAAACTGAAATTCTGTCAAACATCTTTTCTGACCACAACGCTATGAGATCAGAAATCAACTACAAAAAAAAAAAAAAAAAGAAAGAAAGAAAAAAAAGCCCTGCAAAAAACACAAATACAGGGAAACTAAACAACTTGCTACTAAATGGCCAGTGGATCAGTGAAGAAGTCACAGAGGAAATAAAAATACCCAAAGACAAATGAAAACGAAAACATAACAATCTAAAAACCTATGGGACTCAGCAAAAGCAGTGTGAAGAGGGAAGTTCATAGAGATATGAGCTTACCTCCAGAAACAATAAAAATCTCAAATAAACAACTTAACCTTACATCTCAGTGGAGAGGAGTTTAAGCAAACTCTAGAAGACGGTGAAGGACAGGGAAGCACAGCGTGCTGCAGCTCATGGGGTCACAAAGGGTCGGACGTGACCGAGCGACTGAACGACAACCACCTTACACCCAAAGCAACTAGAGACAGAACAAAATACCCCCAGAGTTGGTAGAAGGAAAGAATCATAAAGACCAGAGCAGAAATAAACAAAATAGAGGCTAAGGAAACAACAGAAAAGATCAGTGAAACCAAAAGCCGGTTCTTTGAACAGATAAACAAAACCTATACACCTTTAGCCAGATTCATCGAGTTAGAAAGGGAGGGGGTCCAAGGCAATAAAATCAGAAATGCAAAAGAAGAAGTTACAACTGACTCCACTGAAATACAGGCCACCATGAGACTACTACAAGAAACTACATTTTTACTGTTATAAAAGTCTTATTTTCTCAAACACCTTTGATACCGTCAAACTCCCTTGGGGGTGGGGAGGGTAGAATGTGCCACAGGCTTCTAAAGACTGTTATGTGCTATAGGGTTATGTTTTAATTACTTTTCCCTAAGAATTAGAAGATAAAATGACTTCTGTGAGATAGCATAATGATACATTAATTCAACCTTGTATATCACAAGCTGCTCTAAATTTAACATACTTAAAATGCATTGCTTCTGGAGAAAGTTCTGTATTTTCTTTAAATATAGTTCACATGCAGATTTAAGTATCTTTCATTTCATGCAAATGTTCATTAATGCGTTTATATTTCATAATATTTGGACAGCTTCATTCTGGCATTTTCTTACTCGAGTAACTTTCTGTTTTCTGCAGTTAATCTATGTAAATTAAAGTTTATATCAGTCTTATATAGGCACATAAGACGAGATCTAGAAAGCTGGAGACCAAAGAGTCACCTTCTGATACCCTGCCGGGAACCAGTGACACAGCTGGCATCTAACTTCTTTTGACTGAATCCATCCACCCCAGGTTTCTTCTACTTCAAGGGCTCAGACACACCACCTCTGAGGCTTTCTCTATGTCCGCCATGGTATCTGAACACTCCCAGACTTATCCCTAGCTTAGAAGTCAGAACCAGCTGGATGTTTTTGCAGTGACTTATCCTCGTCTGGGCTTCCCCAGTGGCTCATGGTAAAGAACTTGCCTGCCAATGCAGGAGACACAAGATACGCGAGTTTAATCCCTGGGTCAGGAAGATCCCCTGGAGGAGGGCAGGGCAACCCACTCCAGTATTCTTGTCTGGAGAATCCCATGGACAGAGGAGCCTGGTGGGCTACAGTCCATGGGGTAGCAAAGAGTCGAGCACGACTGAAATGACTCAGCACACAGCACATCGTCATCTGTCCTGAGAAGTCTCACCCCTAGAGACACATGAGGCAGGCCAGGCACTCAGATCAGCCAGACTGCCTCCAATCCAGCCCAGCAGATGGGCACAGGCACACAACTTTTCAGAGGAAGAAATGTGATTTTCTCCGCACAGGGAGAGCACACTCGGGGGTCGTGGGGGGTGGGGGCGGGGCATGGCCATGTATGATTGATACCATACACCATGTTGATGAAACAGGCCCTCAAGTTAAAAGCATAATTTTAAAAGAAGACTTTTGCTTTCAAGATGTGTCCTACCAAGTATATGTAATTGTTGCATTGGGCTTCCCTGGTGGCTCAGAGGGCAAAGAATCTGCCTGCAATGAGGGAGACCAGGGTTTGATCCCTGGGTCAGGAAGACTTCCTGGAAAAGAGAATGGCTACCCACCCCGGTATTCTTGCCTGGAGAATTCCACAGACAGAGGTGCCTGGTAGGCTGCAGTCCATGGGGTCACAGAGGGTCGGACACAATAGCACCCAAGGCATATGCATATATATATTTCACATAAATACCCTGGCTCTCCCTACTGCCGGCTCTGTCCCTGCCTGGCTCCCCCGCTAGGTGTCCTCTGGCTGGGAGGCTGGAGTGGGTCTGCCCTGCAGTCACCATGGCAACAGGACACATTCACACTGAGTTTGGGGATTCTGGCTTTTCCTGCCCAACTCGGTAGCCAAAACACACACCACAGCAGGCAGATTTTTTTCAAGAGTCTGTCTGTTCCCAGCCTTCCTTTCAGGGTCAAGACCAGTTGTTTACTTCAGGCACATGGTCTTATCAGAAACAAGCAGCTACATTTTAATCCGCAACCCATCAAGCTGATTGAAGCGTGCACCTCACCTCCAGCATCAGCTGGGTGAATTCTTCATTACTGAGGAACGAAGGCTTCCAGTCCGGCTGTATGTCACAGACTTCCGTTTGCGCTGAGACTTCTAAAAAAAGAACACAAACAAGCTTTTAGATGAAAAGACACCTAGAAACTGGAATTAGGAAATGACACATGTGTTATTTTTATGCAATTTCGTATAAATGTGTGGTTTAATAAAAGAAGCTGATGTAAGGGCATATGCTACTCTGATTTCCATGGATGGGGTACATTGGAGATAATGGACTCTTGCTGTTTTCTCCTTTTGACTTTTAATGAGGTCTCTGGGAAGAGAGCACCCCACCCTCTGCACTGGGTGTAGTGCCTGTGGTTAGCACGTGGCACCTTGCCCTTGAATTTCTACATGACAAAGCCCATCATCAGCGGCTGGAGTTTGATAGTTGCCACCTGGGTTTTCCTGGTGGCTCAGTTGGTAAAGAATTCACCTGCAGCGCAGGAGACGGGGTTCCATCCCGGAGTGGAGAAGATCCCCGAGAGAAGGAAAGGGCAACCTACTCCGGTTATCAAGGCAACAGGAACAAGGACAGGGTGGAGGGGCATGTCCTTAAGCTGCTTCTTCATGGTCAAGGCGAAACAAAATACTTTAGCAAGCTGGGATTTTAAAAATTCCAGAAACATCTTAGGGAACGAAGTTCCTAACCTACTGCGTTTGTGCAGATTGCAATGTATGTTTCAGCATTTCCAGTTACTGAAGTATAATTCGTTATACAAATACATGCTGCTTATTAGTTGCTTTGAAGGCCAGAATTTATTTTTCCTAAAACTTTCTGGGGTTAATCTGTACTTTGCCCGTTTCAAGTAACTCCCTTGTTCGCAAGACATTATTCGTATTTGTAAATCTAATAGTCACTGGTCTACACAGGACTCTGTAAACACTCTAGTTTTCCTGCCCTTTTGTGGGTTTTTTTTTTCCCTTTATAATAGTTGATTGACATTGTTTTTTTTTTCCTATTCATGATTTAGAAGAATTTCTTTCTGCTTTACAACTTGGCAATTTTGTGTAAATTCTTAGCATTTTTGTCAAGTTTGGGAAAACACCAATCAAGTTTCTTTCTTAGAAGAACTGTAAAATTTCAGGGCATTTCACCTTTTTTTTGGTTGTTCACTGACTAACCTACAATGCTCTTGCTTTGTTTTTTAATTTTTATATAATTTTTTAAAGTTTTTTTAAAAAAATGTGGACCATTTTTAAAGACTTTACTGAATTTGTTACAATATTACTTCTGTTTATGTTTTGGTTTTTTGACTATAAGGTGTGTAGGATCTTAGCTCCCCGACCAGGGATGGACCCCACACCCACTGCATTGGAAGCTAATGTCTTAACTACTGGACTACCAGGGAAGTCCCTAATTTTTATACAATTTTTAAAGGTTACTTTCCACTTACAGTTATTTTAAAATATTGGCTATATTCCACATGTTGTACAACACATCCCTGAGCCTGCCCCACACACAACGGTTTGAACGTCTCATACCCCCGCCCCTATATTGTCTGCCCCATCACTGCTAACCACTAGTTCGGTCTCTACATCTGTGAGCCTGCTTCTTTCTTGTTATTTTCACTAGTTTGTTGTATTTTTTAAGACTCTCTATATGAGTGATATCATACAGTATTTCTCTTTCTCCATCTGAATTATTTCACCTAGCATAATGCCCTCCAAGTCCATCCATATCGCTGTGTGCTAACTCGCTTCAATACTGTCCGACTCTTCACAGCCTTATGGACTGTAGCCTGCCAGGATCCTCTGTCCATGGGATTCTCCAGGCAAGAATACTAGAGTGGGTTGCCATGCCCTCCGCCACAGGATCTTCCCGACCCAGGGCTCGAACCCACATCTCCAACATCTCCTGCATTGGCAGGTGGGTTCTTTACCACTAGCACCACCTGGGAAGCCCCCATATTGCTGCAAGTGGTATTAGTTCATTCTTTTTTATGGCTAAGTAATCACCTGCTGTGTATATGTGCCACATGTTCTTTATTCATTCATCTGTCAATGAACACTTAGGTAGTTTCCAGGGATTCTAGCTCCCTGACCAGGGGTTAAACCTGAACCTTTTAGAAGGCAAAGTCTTAACCACTGGACTGCCAGGGAAATCCCAAGAATTCAGTGTTATAATCAAATCTATGATTTTTCTCTGAGATGGCAGAGAAATAGAATGGGGAGACCACTTTCACAATAGAATGGGAAAGACTAGAGATCTCTTCAAGAAATCTCTTCAAGAAAATTAGAGATACCAAGAGAACATTTCATGCAAAGATGGGCACAATAAAGCACAGAAACGGTATGGACATAACAGGAGCAGAAGATATTAAGAAGAGGTGGCAAGAACACACAGAAGAACTATACAAAAAAGATCTTCATGACCCAGATAACCACAATGGTGTGATCACTCACTTACAGCCAGACATCCTGGAATGTGAAGTAAGTGGGTCCTAGGAAACATCACCATGAACAAAGCTAGTGGAGGTGATGGAATTCCAGTTGAGCTATTTCAAATCCTAAATGATGCTGTGAAAGTGCTGCACTCAATATGTCAGCAAATTTGGAAAACTCAGCAGTGGCCACAGGACTGGAAAAGGTTAGTTTTCATTCCAATCCCTAAGAAAGACAATGCCAAAGAATGCTCAAATTATGGCACAATTGCACTCATCTCAAACACTACCAAAGCAATGCTCAAAATTCTCCAAGCCAGGGTTCAAAAGTATGTGAACCATGAACTTCCAGATATTCAAACTGGTTTTAGAAAAGGCAGAGGAACCAGACATCAAATTGTCAACATCTGATGAATCATTGATAAAGCAAGAGTTCCAGAAAAACATCTATTTCTGCTTTATTGTCTATGCCAAAACCTTTGATTGTGTGGATCACAATAAACTGCAGAAAATCCTTAAAGAGATGGGAATACCAGACCACCTGACCTGCCTCCTAAGAAATCTGTATGCAGGTCAAGAAGCTACAGTTAGAACTGGACATGGAACAACAGACTGGTTCCAAATCAGGAAAGGAGTACGTCAAGGCTGTATAGTGTAACCCTGCTTATTTAACTTATATGCAGAGTACATCATGAGAAATGCCAGGCTGGATGAAGCACAAGCTGGAATCCAGATTGCCAGGAGAAATATCAATAACCTCAGATATGCAGATGACACCACCCTTATGGCAGAAAGCTAAGAACTAAAGAGCCTCTTGATGAAAGTGAAAGAGGAGAGTGAAAAAGTTGGCTTAAAACTCAATATTCAGAAAACTAAGATCATGGCATCTGTTCCCATCACTTCATGGCAAATAGATGGGGAAACAGTGGCAGACTTTATTTTGGGGGGCTCCAAAATCAGTGCAGATGGTGACTGCAGCCATGAAATTAAAAGACACTTGCTGCTTGGAAGAAAAGCTATGATCAACCTAGACAGCATATTAAAAAGCAGAGACATTACTTTGCCAACAAAGGTCTGTCTAGTCAAAGCTATGGTTTTTCCAGTAGTCATGTATGGATGTGAGAGTTGGAACATGAAGAAAGCTGAGCGCCGAAGAACTGATGCTTTTGAACTGTGGTGTTGGAAAAGACTCTTCAGAGTCCTTTGGACTGCAAGGAGATGCAACCAGTCAATCCTAAAGGAAATCAGTTCTGAATATTCACTGGAGGGACTGATGTTGAAGCTGAAACTCCAATACTTTGGCCACCTGATGCTAAGAACTGATTCATTTGAAAAGACCCTGATGCTGGGAGAGATTGAAGGCAAGTGGAGAAGAGGAAAAACACTTAAAAAATAAAAGGAGAACGGGGGTGACAGAGGATGAGAAGATTGGATGGCATCATCGATGCGATGGACATGAATTTGAGTAAGCTCTGAGAGTTGGTGATGGACAGGGAAGCCTGGCGTGCTGCAGTCCATTGGGTTGCAAAGAGTCAGATACGACTGAGCGACTAAACTGACTGAACTGAATTGAGTCTTCACTGGCATTTGATGGGACCAACATTACAAGCTGTAGGTGACTGGGCAGGATGAGCAGAGCAATATGGTCCAAGTGGCTTCTAAATAGCAAGGGAAATACAGCCATATGGGAGCAAGTTTTAAGGGAAGCATTGCAATTAACAGTGGAGCCCCCAAAGCCTACCATCGCGTAGGTTGTACTTATGCCCTAGAACACCTACCTTCCAATAGCTCGTGCTCCACAGGAACCAGCAGGACAATGTTGGGCTATATATGGTCAAGGAAGAGTCTAGAAAATGGGGCAGAAAGTAGGCTGGTGGGGTAACTATCACCCTGCCCAACAGGGACATGTCTCCTTGCTCTGCTGTCCTCCCTACCCCACCCCCGCCTTCTAAGGCAGACATCTGGAAGGCCAAGGGTGAGGACTGGGATTTGATGTTGGGAGAAGATGCCATCAAGCTAGCTGAGACTCACACAGGAAGAATAAAGCACACAGGTCAGCCTGGTCCTGTGGAAGGGACAGACGGCCGTGAAGAAGGCTGCTCACTACACCCTACTATTGACATAACTTAGAGGCATCTCTTCTGTAATAGCTCTGGCAACCCACTCCAGTCTTCTTGCCTGGGAAATCTCATGGACAGAGGAGTCTGGTGGGCTACAGTCCACGAGGTCACAAAGAGTTGGACGTGACTTAGTGACTGAGCATGCTCCTGTAACAGATACTGATGACACATTTCCCGATGGAGAAACATGGTCAGATGCTCGTTTTGATTTGGAATTACTTCCAGAAGCATGCATTCCAGGGTCAAGGTTTATCTCCCAAACTGAGAAAACAGGGATGCTTGGCAGATGATGGATGAAAGAGCTAAATTATTTTAATGACTACCTGCATAGCTCAAGTATCACGTGGTCTCCCTTCAGGATGAAGGCAGAAAGCACACCAAAATCCACAGTTCTGGGCCTCCTTGGTGGCCCAGTGGTTACAAGTCTGCCTGCCAATGCAGGAGACACGGATTCGATCCCCGATCCAGGAAGATCTCACATGCCAAGCAATTAAGCCTGTGCATATCAACTGCTGGAGAAGGAAATGGCAACCCTTTCCAGCATCCTTGCCTG